GATACATATAAATGTCCATTTTGTATCTGTGTATTCAAAATGGTTAGGACAGATATATAGTTACATTCTCTTAATGAATAGAGTGATTTGTTCTAATGGTATTTGTAAATAGGATATCATGTCCGCATCTTGTACAGCAATTAACCACCAGGAAGAATGTATGCAATATGTTAATTGTTGAAACTGTCTTACCAATTTGGTTTGAAACTGTCTCATTGCCATTTGTTTCTCAATAAAATTATGGAAAATAAATAAATAAATAAAGGTGTGTGCCACCATGCCCAGTCTATATAGTCTGGATTAAATTCCCACTGGTCTTGGGCTGGTCTCAGGTGTTAGTTCCAGTTTCAAATCCCATCCATACCACTTGCTGTCTCTGTGAAGAGACAACTTTATTCTCTAGGCACTTATCAGTAAATCAGGAATAATAATTATACCTGATTTATTTGAGCTATTGTTAAAAAAAAAAAAACTTAAATAAGGCACATAAAATAGTCAGCTCAAGACCTAAACACTGTACGTACCTAAACAGGGGAGCCTGTCACAGACCCCAGCACCAGGTGGGGAACTAGAGTGACAGCTTAAGGTGTGCCTCTACCAACACCCAACTAGGAAAAGCATCCTCTTGAGTCCTTGGTTTCTCCATCAGAAAAGCAGGCACTAACACCATGTGTCATTCTTTCAATCCACACATATTTACTGAGCACCTATGAACCAGGCATATTTTAAGTCTTGAGGAAAAAGCAATGAACAAGTCAGTCCCCGTCCTCAGGGATTTTTTTTTTTTTTTTTCACTAGAGGAGATACGCAATTTTAAGTGTTATGAACCAAGTGTGGTGGCGCACGCCTGTAATCCCAGCACTCTGCAGGCTGAGGAAAGAGGATCACTGTGAGTTCGAGACCAGCCTGGGCTCAAAGTGAACTCAAGCCTGGCTTGAACTGTGTAGCAAGACCCTGTCTCAAAAATAAAAATAAAATAAAATTATGTGTTACGATACAATTTTAAGTAGTAATAAGAAGTGAAAAGAAAGAACAGAGTAAGGGAGAGAAAGAGGAGAGAAACTTTCCACTCACTTAGGGAAGCCTCCCTGACAGAGACTGAGAAAGAACATGACAAGGACTGCTTTCCAGGCTTCTAATAAGAAGCAGCCCATTCACAGATATAGAGCCAGAGCACGGGCAGCAGGGAGGAGGGGCCAGACCCCAGGAACATGGGGGACCTGAGGAGTGTATCTCCTTCTAGAAGGAGGGAGGAGTCCCTAAAGAATTTTAAGCATGTTTTGGCCAGCCTCTTGCTAGCTAGTCATGCATACTGTGTATGCCCTAAGGTGATTCTGAGACGGAGGGCGCCCTTCCGAGTAACACGCAGCATCTCCTAAGGGACTTGATTCTTGGGTAGCATACGGACTGTGAGTGAGCTCACAGAGTTGGTGAGCTTACAACCTGGGCAGAAGGCACAAAGCAGGGCTCATTCCAGCACCCTGTGTTCATGCTAGCACCCTTGCCCGTTCTGGGTCACTTACGGCAAACTCCTCGGGAGTCACTTTCAAGACATCGAAGACGACAGCATCATAACTCTTGCTGGCATAGTCGCAGCTCTGGCCCTCCAGAGAGTCTGAGCTGCTGCTGCCCTGTGGAGAACGCAGAGACATGACACACCTGAGTGATCTGCCCCCAGCGAAAACGGAGGATGCTAGAGTGAAACAGGCACACAATGCAAAGCTCCCACTGCGTAGGGCTTTACTCTGTTCCAGGCATTATGTAAAGCGCTTAATATGCATGCTCATTTAATCTGTATGATTAGCCTATGTGGTTACACTATTATTACTCCCATTTTACAGACAAGGAAGTAGAGGCAATGCTACTTCTTTAAGGTAGCAAGGCTGCAAACTGACAACCAGAATATGAATGTGGTTTTCTGCCTGGCTCCCAACACAACACTGCTAAGTCACTACACCTGTTTCTGGCCAGTGGTATTTAGTAGGTAAAGAGTTATAACACAGAGCTAGGGGGAGAGCTCACTAGTAGATCGCTTGCCTTCATGCATGAGAACCAGGGTTCTGCCCACAGAACAGTAACAAAATAGTCCCAGCATACTCCTCCCTCAGAGAGAATAGGCAAGGCCCCACCTCTCAGAGGCCTGGGCAAGTCTTCTGTTCCTTTATGTCTTTCAAATATGACCTTGGTTCACCTGGTTTGTATTTTTTTCTTTCCTGAACCTGTTGCAGGAAATTGCTACCCGCAATGTAGAACTGACCCTCCAAACCTTATCTGAGGTTTAGTTCACGCGTGGTAGACTGGGAACTCAGAGCCTGCTGGTGGATGAGCTGAGAGGTAAGCATTAGACTGTGGAGACTGTCACGGGGTTACACGTGGAGGAGTCCCTCGCGTGAAGAACACACTGAGTCCTGCATGTGCAGAAAGGAGCTCCCATGAAGATGCAGGCTCACACTCCCCAAGCGTGGCTGGTTTCGTGAAATCCCACCCTGTGGATCTCAGAGTGCTGCACGTGCCTTCTTTGTAGTTTTATTTCATTTCATCAAACTCCACTTTGGGGAATCCATCAGGCTTACCACCCAGCACTCGTGCCCTGTTCATAAGTGATTTTAGTTGTCTCAACTCATCAAGGTTTTGTGGTTTCCATTAACCTCAACATCTTGGAGTAGGATTTACAGAATATACTTTTATTAATTCCTTCTTATTTCACTCTTTCCTAAACTTCTATATCTGGCAAAATGCTGCAATCTTACTGGAAACAAGAGTGCTTTAGGCCAGTTAGGAAACCTACTAGTCAACAACTAAAAATGTGAAGTTAGAGGAGCAGGAACATAACCTGCTAGCTTCAGTAGGCCTGTGTCATGGAAAAGTTTTTACAAAGGAGTCGGCTATATTGAAAACCCTGAGGCGGTCTTAAGAGGCACAGTGTTAAGAGCTCTGAAGTTAGACAAACCTAGATAAAAAGAGAGCATCACACTGCCGGCTATCTGAACCCAGGCAGGCGGCCTCACTGTGCTGAGTCTCACTCCTCCTCTGTAAACAGCAACGTCCAACCCCCCAGAGCTGTGGTTCAGGGACTAAATGAGGCTGAGAACCCATCTGGCAGAATGCCGCTCTCAGGAGACTCTGGCGCCAGGCCTGGCAATCCTAAACTGCCACAGTTGCTGCATGCCTATAATCCAGGCACTCTGGGAGCCCGAGGCAGGAGGATTGCATGTTTGAGCAAATCCTGAACATCCACATTTTTAAAAAAGGTTAAGAGTGTAGCTCAAAAAAAAAAAAAGAAAAAAAAAGAAGGTAGCTCAGCCCATAGGCCTTGCGTTTAATCCCCAGTACTGGGGGGAAAAATTGCCACAGGTAACAAGTTCTCCCTGAGGAAAACCTGAGTCTGAGAATAAAAGTAATAAAGATAGTTCCTGATGCTTTCAGAATCAGTACTCAATTCTATCTACCAGCCTTAAGTGCTGACCTTGAAAAGGCAAAGATCCATAAATATTTCTACTACTTCCATCCACCTTCCTGGAAGCAGCTCAACCAGGTGGACAGTGCTTATTCCTCTGGGACAGCACGGGAGCCTTCACTTGGACCCACATTCCTGGCCAGCTGCGGGACCCCAGCAGCGTTTTCCTCTGCAAGCCTCAGGTTCCTCCTCTATAACCTCAGCTACACAGTGATGGGGTTGCTGTGAGGGGGAGATGAGAGGACGCCCGGGAACATGCAAGCAAAGCACCTGGAATAGAGTAAGCACTAAACTCGGGGCACGCCGGGGTGTGAGCGTGTCGTTCAGTCACCAAGATTAAAGGAGCATTTCAATTATCCACGTATGCACTCATTCAACAAACATTATGGCGGACTTACCATATGCTTGATACACCCACATGTGCATGAGCTGGTCCTCAGTATCAAAGGGGATCAATTCCAGGACCCCTCAAAAATACTAAAATCTACAAATGCTCAAGGGTGTGGTCCAAAATGGCCTAGTATTTCCACACAATCTATTCATACCTCCCATATACTCTGAGTCATCTCTGATTACTTATAATACCTAATTAAATGTAAATGTTCTATAAATGATTGTCACACTATATTATTTAGGGACTAATAAGAAAAAAAGTCCATATATGTTCACCACATGAAATTTTTGAGTATTGTTGATCACGATTAGTGGATTCCAAGAATATGGAGAGATGACTATATTCAGTACATGTGTACATATCCATCTGTCTACACAACACACACATACATTCATATGTACACACATGCATACCTCACACAGAAAGGGGAAGGAAGAAGGTTCATTCTGGGTGGAGTATAAGCTACAGATGGAACCAGAAATCTGATTCTTCTAGGCACCAGTGTCCATTCTTGGTATTACAGATTTTTTAACTTTCTTGTAACACCCCATTGTACCCAAATGTATACTCATTCAGGGTATTTTTTTAGTCAAAAGTTGCCCTAAATCTTTTCACTGATGATGATGGTCATGCAGTTATCTTATTTATGAGCTATATTTGTATTTGATTTTGACATTAAGAGGGTCACCCCAAAGAGTTTTTACAAAGATCTCTAAGAAACAAACTGGCTTCTATGACTTTCTTTCTGGTTACCCTGGATTCTTTCAAAAGCCCCACTTGATGGCAGCCCAGGACCCAACACTGCCTGGCCAGTGTGTGAGAGGTGTCAGGCATTACACATTTGCCACGGGGGAACCAGCCTCAGATGACACGCACTGCTTCTGCATGGCAGTTCCATTCCTGAGCTTGGGGAGCAAACTCCCAAGCCTGAGACAGGGCCTGGCTCAGGGCCCCAGATAAGCACTCCTTACAGCCATTTCCTATGGAGAAAGGCAAGTAAGAGCCAGCTGGAATAACTTCTGCTGACTTCATTCTGGAATGTGCAACTTATTTACAATCAGCAGCAGCTTTTCTGGGAAAGGTCTGATCCCTTCTTGCCACCAAAAGGGAATGTGGCACTTGCTACAGCTGGACTGAGCAGGTATTTGTTTTTCTTTGAAGAGAACAAATTCAGACAACACACTGATCCTAAGGGCTGACCACCTCCCAAAGCTCATGCCTATGTGGCCAGGGACCTTGGGAGTGCTAAGAATGGTAGCATTCAATGGGGGCCTGGGGCCTTGCTGCCGGGGCTCTGCTGGGGCTGGGTGAGCTGAAGGCCCCACCCAGTCCTGACTGAAGCCTCCATACCTGTGGAGTGGCAGAGGTGACCAACATGCTAGCCATCAGACCATTCCTCTTGTACATAGTCTCCAGGCCACAGGGAGCTTCAGGGCAGCCTCTGCTGGTGACATAACCTGCCTGGAGAAGTCCTGCAAGAAAAAAGGAGCGCATAAAAACCAGCTCTCAACACCACTGACCCCCATTCGAGAGGGAAAGCTATGCCACACTCAGATTACCCAGAAGGACACTCCAAAGAAAGGTTGTAAGCTGGTAGTCTTCACAGTATACTTGGCCCAAGTTAATTACCAATGTCTAAAAACTGAGTTTCACATAGAATTCTGGATCTCTGACTTTTCTAGCAGCAGTGAGCCCACAACCCTCTGCGGTGGCAATCAGCTGGGCTGAAAAGGCTGCCCTGTGCCTCAGAGCTTTGGGCTCCCACCAGGCCATGTGGCCATTTCAGCATATCCCTGGCCTTGGCAAGCACCAGAGCCTGTGACATTTTAGAGAAATATGGCATGATCCTCTCTTGCTCCCCTGGGTGCCACACTGCCTCCTCAGTGATAATGTGGACAACAGTTAACCTCACACAGCACTCACCACCTTGGCATGCACTTGGCATCTGCTGACTCACCTAACCCTGCCCACAGTCCTGAGGTAGGCCTAATTATTGCACTCATCCTACATGTGGGGAAACCGAGGTACAAAGAGGTTTAGGAAAGAAAGAGACAGATACAAAAGGTCAGCGGTGCCATAGAAACTGACATGGAGTGAAGGGAAGGCTCTAGAAGGTGGTGGGATGACTTCCAGCCTGAGGTGTCCGCATGATGTATCCTTCCTCAATGAAAGGGCAGAGGTAACACAGCAGAGTGGTGATCAAAAACACTGAACTTGACTTGTGACATGCAGGATCTGCAGTGCCTGTGAGGAAAGTGGTCTTGGAGGGTAAGACCTAGACTGGAGGTGATGAGGAAAGATGGAAAATGCCAGCCCACCCTTCATTTAACTGAACCTCCAGGCCCCATCACACAGCAGTGAACATTAGCCAGATGGAATGTCGAGGTCACTGAGCTCCTCCTTACACAGCCCCAACTGTCCACAGACCCTCTAGCACCCTCAGCTGCCCTCAGATCTTCCTTTCCAACAGCACCTGCCCAGACTGTCCTTCCCTCTCTTCCCCAGAATTCAGAAGAACTGGATTTTCCTATTAATAACCATTGGGGGATCACGTGGAGAAAGCTGAGTGAATCCCAGACAATATCACTGAGTTGCTGCTGGTTTCCTCGGTGTGAGGACGGCGTGGCAGTGATCAGGAGGAGGTCTTCATCAGTAGGCAGTGCGAGGTGAGCTACAGCTCCCTTCCCAGCAGGCTGGTGAAACACGTATGAGATGGAACAAACATGGCAAAGTTTATAATGTCCAGTGCTTGACAACTTCGTAACAAAGTTGAGAGACAAAACTAGGATGGAAAGACCCACATCTTCTTTCATGAGCAAGGAGAAGGGACAGGCTAGGAACACTCATTTCTAAATCATTTCTGTCCTAAGAGAATCTATTTCCCTGTCACTCAAGGCCATGAATCTATGGCTGGTGAGGTTTAAGGAACAGCCACGCACAAGATTCACTAAAGAAAAGGTACAGATGGAAAAATACGGTATCAGAGAAATGGAAACAAAAGCCATGAAGACATGCCACTTCACACGCCTTAGCATCAATAAAACTAAAAAGCAAAAGCAAACCACAGTAAGTGTTGGTGAGGAAGTGAAGAAATGGAACACTCCTGCACTGCTGGTGGGAAGGCAACTGATACAACCACTTTGGAAAGAAATCTGGCAGTTTTTCAAAAAGTTAAACAAAAGCTTACCATACAGCCCAGTAAGTCTATTCCTAGGTATCTACCTAAAATAAACAGAAACAGGGGCCGGCAAGATAGCTTTGTGGACTAAGCTTCTGCTTAGGCAAGTGCAGGGACCAGGGTTCAATCCCTAGCACCACAGGCCTCACCAGCCCCACCCCTAGGCATGCTGAGCCAGCTGAGACCAGATGGAGTGGTGCACGCCTGTAATCCCAGCTCTGGGGAGGCTGAAAACAGGAGGTTCACTACAAGTCCAGGCTGCATAGTGAGACCCTGTACCAAATACATAAAAAGTAAAATAAAATAAGATAAATAGAAACATATATCTATACAAAAGTATGTCTGGGACTGCTTACAACATCGCTACTCCTGAAAGTCAAAAGTTGGAAGGGCTGGTGAGATAGCTCAGCAGACTAAGTGCCTGCTTAGGCAAACACAGGGACTGGGGTTTGATCCTCAGTGCCACATGCAGTGCCAGCCCTGTCCCTGTGGTGTGCTGAGCTGGAGATGGAGTCTGGGCATGGTGGCACATGCCTGTAATCCCAGATGCTGGGGAGGCTGAAAATAGGAGGATCACTACAAGTCTGAACTGCATAGTAAGATCCTGTACCAAAAAAAAAAGTCAAAAGTTGGAAACAATTGAAATGTCCACGGATAAGCAATGCATTATATACACAAAATGTAAAACTACTCAGCTGCTAAAAGAAATGAAATACTGGTATAAGCTAAAACATGACTAAACCTCAAAAACATCACACTATATGAAAGAAGACAGATGCAGAAGAATGAACTGCATATAATTCCATTTTAGGAAATGCCCAGAAAAGACAGTTTGTAGAGACAAAAACACACATCAGGAGGGTGGAAGCAGACCTGACTGTACATGGACACAAGGGTGTCTCTAAAGTGATGGAAACGTTCTAAAGCTGCCTGGTGGTGACAGGCACACAGCTCAGGAAATATGGATTCTATGACATCTCAACTGAAGCACAATAAAAGCACTCTGACTTCTGTTCCATGGGGTATCTCAATTTGCATGTTTAATATCCCTTTAAATAATCAATATTAAAGTGCTAAAAGCCTACTCTATTAGTACAAAACAGAGAAGATGCAATCAATAAGCAAGCTTCAAGGAATTTGCTATGCTGAAGAAACAGGACGTAGAGGGAAGGAACAGCCCTGAGCAAGGGAAGGGCACGGACAGGACCCTCCCACAGAAGCCCCCTAAAGTCCCAGAGGCTTCAAAATGGAGAATTCGAAAATGAGATATGAGTAAACCCTGTTCAAATGCTTAAAGGCAGCACAAGCCAAGTGCCTTGGTCACCTCAAACCAGACTAACCAGTCAGAATAGGCTGCGTAAGCAGGACCAGCCCAGCCACTCTCCCAAGCCAGAAGAGACCAGCCTGAGGGGACAGAGCCTACTCAGTTCAGTTCAGATTGGGGGGGTGGGCACAGCAACTCTGCTGAGCTTAACAGTCACAGGGAAGGCTGACTGGCAGACGGCCTCTTTCAGTGGGTCCCACCTGCTAGGCTCAAGGCTGAAGTGACTTTGCTCTTGTCCCACTGTGCCTGGAATTTTGTGGGTCTCCCCAAGGGAAGCCCAGACCTGAAACCCAACCTGTTCAGGCCGGCATACACCAAAGGCCTTGTTCTCCTGACCCATCTGCCTCACCCAGCCTTTCGACACAGGCGCCCTGTAGCACAATGGCCTCCTCCTCCTCTGGCCTGCAGCTTGCCCCTGCTTCCCATCAGAAGAATGCCACCAGAGCATCCACTCCTCCACACGTCAGTAAGAGCACTGGCGGTGCACGCAGACGCTGGGGGTGCATTCATACTTCTGGCCCATTTCGTCTTCACGACAGCCTCTGGAGGCAGACACTACTTGGGCTCCTGGGAAAGGGAGGAACAGAGAAGGACTGTGCCTTACTGCTCGTTAGTGGAGGGATGAGGAGCTCAAACTCTGGGTCTGGGCTCTTACTTGTTCCTGCTGTGGCCTCCTGCAAGCCCAGGTGGGACTGAACAAGGAAGCAGCTAGGACATGCTTCATCCAGGCCAGTTACAGGGCAAGCACTTGGCCAAGACTGTTACTACCAGTGCTAGCATGATTTCTATTCATTTATTCTTCTCCTTTCCTCAAACACACAAACAAACAAAAAATAGCTTTGTGTTCAAGAAAGAACAGCATCATGCTTTGTGAAATGCATTCCAGCATGGGCTCAGGCTCCGAGTCCATGAGCCCAGTCAGGAATCAGTGTGCAAGACTCTGTCAATCAAGACGATGGACCCACCACTGGGAACGGACACCCTTCCACCGCCAGTGTGGCCCCAGCCCACCTCGAGACAAAGTATGGCAGCAGCAGTGTGTGACTGGTTATGCTTTCTATGGAAGGCCTGAGCTGGAAAGAAAGATCAAGCTTGTTTCTGATCTGACTCCTGAATGTCTTGCCACTCACTGACAGAAACAGCCTAATTTATGGACAGCAACTCATAGAGAAGTGATATTTCACATGCTAAGAAATGACAAAACCAATCCAAAGGGAACAGCCTTGCCAGGTCCAGAGAAAGCCCCACCCCTTCAGCTTCCACCCTGGAGCCCAGTGGAGCTGTAATGCCTGTATCAGGGTACAGCCTCCCACCAGAGCTAGCTCAGCCCAGCTCCTCCCCAGGCACTGTGCCCCTGCCCAAGAGGAGGGCCTGAACACGGGCGACAGCCACCCACCCTTCTGGCAACTCAGAACCCTAAGACCTCGGTCTCTGCTGGTCACCCAGGCTGAGGCGCTGTGCTCTCCGGAGTAGAGGGTGGAGCTGTACAGATACAGTCTGGTCAGACTTGTTCTGCAGCTAGGGGAAAGCAGCTGCACAGGGAAGCAACGGCAACAGCACATCCCGGGCCCTGCCACAAACATCACTTTCAGCGTAAGGTGGGAAGCGTGGGTTTCCAAAAGACCCTGACAAAGGCTCATTCTTAGACATGCACTTTGTGCCAACTGCCAACTCACCAGAAAGCTGACCCTGAAAATGCAGTGGGCTTACTGGGATGGAACAAAAAGCATATTATTCACTCATTTATTGGGCATTGTTCTATTTGTTCATTTATAGACAAGGTCTCAATAAATGGCCTAGGGTGACCTCAAAGATGCAATCCTCCTGCCTCAGCCTCCCAAGTTGTTGGAGCTACAGGCAGGCACCACCACTCCTGTTCACCGGGCACTCATCGTTCTAACCACCAGTTTTTAACTACTGTGGGCCTTCAGCCCTTTGGGACCCCAGAAACGTTTTTAAATGCATAAAAT